TAGCTACGCATCTAGTACCCCACAATCGTTTTGGGAAAGTAAAGGCAACTGGGCAAAGTGCTGACCACGCTATGCCGAGGTCACAGAAACAGATTAACTCTACCTTATCTGCCCCATGGATCTCCACGTCCGAAAGGGGAATTTACTATGTTTGGTTGTATCTTGTACGACAGAGCTGCTTTACATTACAAGTGAACGGTGACGCCTCGAACCGCCCCTTTAGGAAAATCCAACTCTACATAGTTTTGGCCTGGGTAATTATTCTACGGGTACTTGTTCGATTTCTATTATGAAGATAACAGGAACGTGCTGACATTGTGTTGTTGTTTTTTCTTCTGTTGGCACCGCTTAGACCTATATAGTTAGGATTATAGTTAGGGCTAGAGTTAGCGGTGTCATCAAAATGTAACTTTGATATGAGGCTGAAAAACATAGATGTAGTACCTCTATAAAGTTTCTCGAAGACTTTTAAAGAAGTCATTCTCTAGTTAAAAAACTTACTGGTTCAATTTTTTGCATGTTTTTGGTTAACGAGTGTCCGATGATACATGCCATCATTTTTAATTTTGTTAACAGTTGAGGATACGACCTATTTGAAATATCCTGCTCATGTAAACAGTGATACGAATTATTGCAAATTTCATGTTAACTAATGTTAACAGACAGTGACGTTAGCGGGCAGGGATACTAACTATTGCAAATTTTCTGTTAACTAATGTTTACATACAGTAATACAAACTATCGCATATTTCCAGCTAACTAATGTTTACATACAGTAATACGAACTATTGCACATTTTCTGCTAAATAATTTTAACATACTGTAAACTAGTGTAAACGATTGCACATTTCCTGTTAACTAATGTTTACATACAGTAATACAAACTATTGCACATTTCCTGTTAACTTATGTTTATATACATTAATACAAACCATTGTAACATTTCCTGTTAACTAATGTTCACATACAGTAATACAAACTATTGCAAATTTCCAGTTAACAAATGTTTACATACAGTAATACAAACCATTGTAACATTTCCTGTTAACTAATGTTTACATACAGTAAAACGATCTATTGCCCATTTCCTGTTAACTAATGTTAACAGCCGCGAGAGTTTGGACTTTGAGATGCTAGACCTCAAGTGACAGTGATACAGACCATCCGATTACATTTCCGGTTAACCTGCCACGCCCCATTTTTATAACCCCGCGACCCAGAATCTGCCGTTCTATTCTTGTTGAAGAATTTTTTCATTTAACAGTTGGGTGTGGGGAGGGATGGGGGTGGGGATAGAGAGGGGGCCGCGACCTATCATCCGCTATTTTTTTTTTTTATTAAAACATTAGGAATTGAATTTTAAAGTTAGGAGGAGAGGAGAGAGTACAATTTAAGACACTTCCCCGGTTGTTAATATAAGAGCGGGCTAATGCAACGGGATAATGAATGATTACAAAGTTTAATGTGCCTCTATGTGAAGTTGTGCGAGTGATATCAAGCTAATCATCTTTTAAAAATAGCTTTCCCTAATTTTTTTTACGTTACTCACGTTAAGATCGCATTAAAAATATAAATTGAATTAAACCTACCTCTCCCCACAAGTAATTCAACGAAACGTTAGCCTAAACTTGGTTTGAATCTGTCCATGATCCCATCTGTAATTCCCCAAATCCACCCCACAACCCACTTTAAACACTGCCACCATTTGTATGCCTAAACCTCGTGCTTGTTCCTAAATATATCCCCACACAGGTCTCCATAAGTCTGATTCTACCCCCAAGCCTAGTTCCTACCTTGTCGCTAACGCTATCTTAAAACCCAATAAAACCTAATTATAATCTTGTTCTAGCTCGTTTATTATTTCACTAAAGCTTGTTCTAACACTGACCCTTAAATATATATCTAATCCTTGTTCTATCCCAAATCTTCGCGTGTTTTGAGACACCAAGCCCATCACCAACCGTACACCAACGAACACAAACACCAGCAAAATCCAACATCAACAAAACCCATTACAATCAAACCCAACAACTCCAATAACTCCAACTCCAACACCCTCAAACCCAACTACAAGAAACCCAACACCAACAAACCCAACACCAACAAACCCAACACCAGCAAACCCAACACCAACAAACCCAACACCAACAAACCCAACTACAAGAAACCCAACACCAGCAAACCCAACACCAACAAACCCAACACCAACAAACCCAACTACAAGAAACCCAACACCAACAAACCCAACACCAACAAACCCAACACCAACAAACCCAACACCAACAAACCCAACACCAACAAACCCAACACCAACAAACCCAACACCAACAAACCCAACACCAGCAAACCCAACACCAACAAACCCAACACCAACAAACCCAACACCAACAAACCCAACACCAACAAACCCAACACCAACAAACCCAACACCAACAAACCCAACACCAATAAACCCAACACCAACAAACCCAACACCAACAAACCCAACACCAACAAACCCAACACCAACAAACTCAACACCAACAAACCCAACAACGATACCATCTTTAAACCCGGCACGTCTGAAGGCAGTTACCTGTGTCACATTAACCTTTTCAATGGCGCCGCATACTAAATGAACCGTATGTTTGATTTTATGTCCAGCCTGGGACTAATTATCTTCTCTAATGACAGCAGGTGACACCTAATTAATTATCAAGTTGCCAGGATGGAAATTACACTTCCATATTTTTTTTCTCGACAAAGTAGTATACACTTATTTTACAACGCTTATATTATTATTGCCCATCATTATACCGGTTGCAGTTGAATTCAACACGATAGTATTCCTTTTGTATTTTTACAAAAGTGACCGTGTTGGCTATAATATTTAATACATAGCATGGTTTGATAATAGTTCATTTTATTTCTATTTTATCTGCCCAGATACCAAGCTATTATGTTTGTACAATCAAGCTAGTTTAAAGCCACCTAATGTGAAGAAAAAAATACAATTTTATCGCACAGTTAGCTTTGTTCATTCTGTCATCCACATAACAAACTAGTGTGAGATACGTTTCTGTTTTCGTGCGGTTTCCTCTAACTGAATTTTGTGCATGCTGCAATTCTATTAATCTGTAGCCTAGACGATTTTTTTACAAGTCTAGCGGAGTTTCGAAATAAAAATTACTTTCCGTACAGTAAAACATTTTTTTTTAAACTTTTCATCTTCTAGCAATAAATGCCGGGTTGTATTTCAAAAACGATTCATGAAACACGTTTAATATTTTTAAATTTTCAATTGTCGTTTTACCAACAGCCTTTTATATTTTTACGTGAATTAATTTAGAATACATTTTTTTTCATAAAAAGAAACGTGTACTGAGAATTGAAATTAATTAAGCACACGCACATATGCTAATAATAGAACAGTACTCAAGGATGATTAAAAAAAATCTAAAAATGATACAAATGGAAAAATAAGTAAATGATTACTAAACAATTTTTTTAAATAAACAAAAAATGGTAGTAAATAGATACATCAATAAAAATACTAACAAATATTTTTGTGTAGGAATTTATTTCCCTCTTTCCAGTTACTTACATTTTTATAGTTTAGAAATTTCAAAATGTACTTTACGCTCATTTAATCACTCTTTTCTTTTTATATTAGATCTACATGTTGTTTAATCAAAGGGTTTTCTCTAAAAAAAAATGAAATAAGCAAATATAAGAAATGCCTCATTGCCTGTTAACACATTTTGTATTATTAAAAAATATATATACTAAATGTAACTTACCAAAAAGCACAACGCCAACGTTGTTTGATTCAGAACCTATTCTATTCATTAAAAGAAATGCAGAAGGAAAAAACAAACCCGTTGGATCTAGAGATTAAACTAGGTTGCATTTAAATAGAAAGCTGTTAATTGAATTTTTCTCTTTCACGTCTGCTTACAAAGGCTATTGTTCTAAAATGTAATGGTTTTAAAATTTCTAAAACAACGCATGCCTTTATTCCATCCTGCCAATGTTGTATGTATCGACTCTGCCGCAATGTTATTTTAATTTTTAGTGACGAAACTTAATAGACACGTGCCGAACATAAACTTGAACATTGAAGATTGTCAATGGTTAGGTTAAGGGTTAGTATGCGTATCAGAATTTGCGAATCCAAAAAGAAAAGCAGGCTGAAACCCGAGTCAAAGGCCTATATGGCGTATATAACCCGTTGGCACGTAAAACTAGAATTAAGAACGAAGAAGAAGAAAACGACATAGGGAAAAGTAGTTCGATGGTAGGTTTAGTGATATGCAAACAACATTCTGAAACTAACCTAGGTACGCCACTATTTTAAAAAAAACCGCCCCCCCCCCCAACTTGATGAATTATCAGTTAGATTGTATATAATTAGTCGCAGAAGTAACTCGTTTCGTGCGGCATCGCCGAGGCGAAGAAGCGTGAGCAATATTGGAGCGATCTAATTAGTTACGTACATGATGTACACCTTCTGGGGTTTTGTACTCACTTAGGCTTGGTTAGTTTAGTTTAATCATGTCAAGCCTTAGCGTTAGTTAAGAGTTGGGGGTTAAAAGTTTTGAGTAAATTTTAGATTTTAAAAAAGCTACAATTAATAAAACAAAGTTACTAAAGTACACTTTCCAACTTGATGGTCCATTGGGCAGATGAAGTAGAGTTCACCTGTTTCTGTTCGGCATTTGAAGGGATAGTGTGGTCAACCCTACGCCCCAGCCGCCTTTACTTTCCTTAACGTGAGTCAGTTTACCCACAAACCGGGGTTCGAACTCAAACCGGTTTAGCCATCCGAACAGGCTATTAACACTGCAATTAACTGGCCAAAACATATCAGCACCGAGTTAGCATCGTAGATACTCATTTCCAAATTTTACTATGTGTGTATGATTGTCCCCCCCCCCCCCCCACCCAATACTGTTGTTGCCAATGTTCCCTCATCACTTATCCCCCTTCTCATGACGTCTGACCTACTTTGTCTCCTGCAGATTTCCCCAGGTACCTGATGACCAGCGGCCTCTACCCCAGCTACCCGCCCCTGTTTCCCGGCGAGCCCCTGTCCCTGCTGGGCAGCGGCATGCCGGGCACGTCAGGACCGTCGCATCCGGCGGCGCACTACCAGCGGCTGCTCGAGCTACAGAAAGGTGAGTAACTGTAACAATCAACCTCAGATAGAATGCTCCGTACTATGGATTAAATGGGTGGTTCCCTGGATATAATATACGGTTCCTTGGATAAAATGGGCGGTTCCATGGTTAAGTGCTGTTCTCCAGATCGAACGGACTGTTCTTTGGATATAATGGACAGTTGCTTGGATAGAATGTGCGGTTCTTTAGATACAATATACGATTCCTTAGATAGAATAGGCTGTTCCCTGGGTGATTGTGGTACTCCGGTTAGAATTGTTGGTTACTTTGATATAATGGGCAGTTCTCTGGATGTAATGTACAGTTCCATGGATATAATGAGCTGTTCCCTGTTATCCAGGCTAGGGCCTAGGCTATATCCGGGAATATGATTATATTCATGTATTGGCCCATGAATTTGGTAAAGTCCATATTTTTGCGGGTGCTATCGTTTGGACCATTGCTAGGTTAGTATATCCTAACCAGTAGATCAATCGCTGACTTCGTCTTGTCGATGTTATAACCGGCACCTAAGTGTGCATAGTCGTGTAGTCAAACAGCGTTAGAACTGTACTACACATCGATATTTACATTCCACGCGACAACGCACCACGCCGATAACACAGTGATAGCGCTAAAAATAGAACCAGCACATGTCCCAGTTATTTAGTTCCGGCTTCATGTTTTTGTAATGTGTAGCCGCCGAAGGAAACCGTGAAATGTATGGGGAAAGTCCGGTTTTTATTAGGAAAATAACCTGGAAGGTGTGGCTGACTTTTTCGTGGACGCTGGATAGGCGGGGGTGTCATGTAGACCACGGAGCTGATGGTTGATGAAGGGGAGTTAATTTCTGGGGAATTGTCTTTCATCATTCGACGAATACAGTGGTGGTTAGTGTGAGTTGTGTGGTTTATTTTTTCTTCCTAGTGGTAGCTTTTTACAGGTGGTCGTTCTTAGAATCGATGCGAGGGATAACTTCTGTGTTGACACAGGCTGGTGTGCTAGAAGCTGTAGTTTAAAACTGGTGTAACAGGAATTTTGTTCTGTCAACTAGAAGTTGTGTTTAATTTATATAATCGTAGAAATTTTGTACTGTCAACTAGAAGTTGTGTATAATTTATGTAATCGTAGAAATTTTGTACCGTCAACTAGAAGTTGTGTGTAATTTATATAATCGTAGAAATTTTGTACCGTATTTATATAATCGTAGAAATTTTGTACTGTCAACTAGAAGTTGTGTATAATTTATATAATCGTAGAAATTTTGTACTGTCAACTAGAAGTTGTGTATAATTTATATAATCGTAGAAATTGTGTACCGTATTTATATAATCGTAGAAATTTTGTACTGTCAACTAGAAGTTGTGTATAATTTATATAATCGTAGAAATTTTGTACCGTATTTATATAATCGTAGGAATTTTGTACTGTCAACTAGAAGTTTGCTATGTTAACAAAGTATTATTTTTGTTATAAAACAAGTTTATAACTTTTATATTGTACGGTAGACGATTATATTTTATCAAAATTTCGTTATTGTTACACTAACAAAAATTGTCATACCAGCTAAAACATATGTTGAGTACTTGTTCCACACCCCCACCCCAACAAAGTAAGTGCAATTAATTTAAAATATAACGGTTGGAAAAAATATATTGATGTCTTAACAATAAGTTATGAAAGGTTGGCCGATAGCTAGTTGTGTTTCTAAAATACACAAAAATGTCACTAAATATATATTTTAAAAAACGCAGCTTATTTTACGTTTCGTCATAAAATAATTTAAATTCTGATTTTTTTAAAAATAATTAATTCAATAATATCATTTTTATAAAGTATGGTGTACTTCAGTATTTAAAACAATAGAACCTGAATCTTTTAAATTAACTAAAGAATATCTTGCTTCTCAATCTGGCAAATCGAAGGAAATGGTTACTGTGGAAAAGTAGGATAAAATCTAGTGTTTGATATATTTGATTAAAGTACTGCATTGTAATTTTCTTTTTTATTATAAATAAAATGTTATTATTGTGATGTTTATTTTCTTTATTTTAGATTCAGCTGTTTCTTTGTAATAAAAAATAGTACAGTTCACAGATTCGATAATCTCGTGTTTTTAATGGTTTGTTCGCTGTTACTTTTTAATAAAAGAAAACTTTTTACAGTTTCGATAATCTCGTATCCGAATGGCTTTTTTGGTGTTATTGCAACTTCTGACTTAGATAGTTTACATACGTGTAGTATGTTACAGGCATCATTATTTAAGTCGTCACCCTCACAACCGAAAAAACTAATTAAGTATTATAATGTGAAGAAGTAAATCCCGCATGTTAAAACTAAAATATTAGACTAGGACTTGTAGTTTATTAATAAAATTGTCATTATGTAGTTCATTGTTTATATTGACTACTGAAGTTCCGCCTGACGCTAAGTTACGATATACTGTAGAATGGAGTATTATTTGCTTCATACGTCTCCTTGTTTATGTGGGCTCCCGAATATATTTAAACGTGCAGGTTTGAAGATAAAAATAACCTGCTTTGACAACCCAACTTTAATTCTTGTTTCAGACGCCTACCTGGCCTCTATGTCTGCCGCCTCAGCCCACCACCCCGGACTCTACATCAACCCACCTGGTCTCGCACCGTATCTGGACCAGGTGCCCAGCACCACGCCCTTAAGTCTGGTCAAACAGGAGCCCAAAGAGTCGTCCGAGAAGTCGAGCAAGGTCCAGGAGCGCCGGTCTTCGGGGTTCAAGGTTGACCTGGACTCTGGTCGACCTTCCAGCGGTTCCCAGGCGACGTTACTCAGGGAACCGAAGCTCTCGCCCTCGCTAGCGACCTCGGGCAACAAGAAATCGTCGAGCTCCAGCCAGTTGAAGAAATCCAACTCTGTGACTTCCGTGGGTTCGAACCCGCGACATCAGCTGGAGGCGTCGTCCCGTGCCAAATGTACGAGCCCGGCGAGCAACACGTCATCGCCGGCGCCGTCTCGGAGTTCGAACATCGCCAACGGGAACTCCCGAAAAAACAGAAACACAAAACCAACAAAGACGGTGACCGAGCCGCCCCACGGTGGGGGTCCGGCTCCCGAGACCCCCGTGCCGGAGGCCGCGCCCATTCCCCTGGCGTCGCTCCAGCACGACGGGCTCGTCCTCTCCGCGCTGGCGTCTCCGTCGTCGGCGGCTGCGTCGGCGGCGACGAGCAAACCGGCGCAGCAGCACGCGGCCACCCCGGTATCGGATTCTAAAAACAGCTCAGGCGTACCTTACCCGGACACTGACCACTCGGAGGATAATTCCGACATAGTGGTGGACTCTACGGAAAATGACGAAGTGACCCGAGCGGAAACGACGACCAAGTCGGAAACCGACGCCGTGGCGGAGACCATTGAGCACGTGGCCTCGCACGCCGAAGCGGATCGGGATACGCCTCGCGCGACGACGACGACGTCACACCACCAGCAGGCGGTGACGTCATCGGCGGTGCATCCTCGACCGGAAGCGCCGTGCGCGGCGACGACATGCGTCCCGACGTCAGGGACGAGGACGGTGTACGCCAAGACGCAACCCGTGCCTTCGGTGACAGCTTCCGGTACCCCAGGTACGGCCTTTTTTAAATACACGTTTCATCCCGTGACTGGTCGGCAGTCATATATGACTGGTCAGCGGTCATGTATGACTGGCCAGCAGTCATATATGACTTGTCTTCTGTCATGTATGACTGGTCAGCGGTCATGCATGACTGGTCAGTGGTCATGTATGACTGGTCAGCAGTCATGTATGACTGGTCTTCTGTCATGTATGACTGGTCAGTGGTCATCTATGACTGGTCAGTGGTCATGTATGACTGGTCAACAGTCATGTATGACTGGTCAACAGTCATGTATGACTGGTCAGCGGTCATGTATGATTGGTAAGCAGTCATGACCGGTCATCAGTCATGTATGACTGGTCAGCAGTCATGTATGACTGGTCAGCAGTCATGTATGACTGGTCAGCGGTCATGTATGATTGGTCAGCAGTCATGTATGACTGGTCAGCAGTCATGTATGACTGGTCAGCAGTCATGTATGACTGGTCAGCAGTAATGTTCGATATCCTCACCCTGCACCTCGCTTTGTTTTCTGCACAAACTATATTATCTTTTATTTTTTTAAAGATGTTTTTATTATACTTCATTTTAACGCTGTTAACTAATTATTCCCCCCATTACTTTGCCGTTATTACTTTTTTACTACCATTTTTATTCCCATCATCATCATATTGGTGTTATAAACTTGTTATTTCCTTTGTACTCCTGCTGTAAGATTTTTTTTCCCGTGTCCTAATATACCTCACAGGCCTTTTACATAAACATTTTATGGATGCATATTGCGTGTCACAGTCGTCCAATCGCATGCGATCAATTACATAATGAATTGTCCCCTTGGTAACAGATTCTAGCCGTGCCATGTCTGATCTAATCAAGAAAATTATAGAAGGGGGTGGAGGGAAGGGGGGGGGGAAACTTTGCCAGACGTACGATGTTATCTGGTCGGTTTTCTAGAAATTAATTGAAACAGCACTATATTGAAATACATGCAGTGGGAAATGGTTTTATTTATTAGTGTAGAGCTTGAATACCGCACCATTGGCAGTGGTGTATTGAAGTCTAGGAACTGCTCAGAACTGCTCCGTTGAGAAGAGTCTTACTTGAGCATGGAATTCTTTTAAACCTGCTCCGTTCAGAAGCGGTTTATTTGAGCGAATCTGCTCAAAACTGCTCCGATAAAAAGGCTACATTTGAGCCTGTGATGTTTTTAATACTGCGCCATGAAGTAAGATCTAGACGTGTGTGAGTGACCTACGTAGTGCGAGCACCAATAGTGACTCCACCTTCACACCCATTCCGTTTTCTTAATGAGCAATTCTGTCCTTCGATAGTCAATAACACCTTTCTCACTTTTACTTTCACTTGTGGTATTCTCTCTTCATTATTCACTAATATAATTCTTATTGTTTTTTTTTTTAATTTACCTTACTCGTGTATTAACCTAACCACTACTAGTCTTTACATTAACCACCTTTAGCCCCGTGTATGTGGTAATTTTCATCTGGGAAAAAGCATGCGGTGTTTTGAATTTAACAGCCTGTCTCTTCGCTTAGTTTGTGATCGATGTATCTGATGTTAATAATCAATAAGGCAGCTAGGCAAAATTGGAGGAGGAAGGTTCAGAAATATAGAATCACGATAAACACAGTAAACATGTTCTAAAAGTTATTTAAAATCGTTTCAGTTTAGGAGAATCCAAGTTATTGTTTTAAACGGCACCAAGATGTGACTGGGATTTTAAAATCTCATTCTTTTAAATATCACGAATAAAAACATTTACTGAAATTCTGTAGCTTAAAAATGATTACCCCTAAAAGAGCCATAAGTTTGTTTCACAAAAAATAGACACGATCTAAACTTACATAGATAACTTGCAAATAATAGTCTCAACTCATTCATATTTTCAAGTAATCTACACTTGAAAGTTTATTAACTAAATTTCAAGTGTTAAATCATTTAAAAATTGAATTCCTAAATTTTTTATTTTTAAATTTGCCACTAATCAAAAGCGACATTGATAGAACCCATTTTAAATCCTTGACAACGATGAAAAAGGCGGAAGCCGTTTTTAAAGAAAATATTATTTAGATTTATATAGCCTCGATCAAAGTCTGCATGTCAAGAAAATATTGATTCACTCTACTGTTGAACCCACTTTAGTATTACAAAGATGGAAATGATTGGACTAGTTATGTCATAATTACATACACAACAGCCTAGTATGCAGTGACGTCATTGGTTTTTTTTTGGTTAACATTTGTGCGTGTGTGTGATTGTGTGTGTGTGTGTGTGACACAAACCCCCTTCCACATTTCAGCAATTCCAGTTTTTAATTGATGACCGCAGGGCCGCATTTAAAGGGAGAAGGTGGAGGTGGGGAGGGTGTGTGTGTGTGTCTGCTTGAATGTGCTTATCATTTCCTTGCCCTCAGAACCACATAGAAGGTTTAAAGATAATTGAAATAGTTTTTAAACAATCGTAATTATATCTTTACACACACATATATATATATATAAATAAATAAATAAATATATATATATATATATATATATATATATATATATATGGCTTGTATATAGAAAATGTTTTTTTTTCTTTGTTGAACAGTTTAGGACGGTTAAAAATCATCTGTCACAAAAGTTAAAGCTTACTTTGGGGTTTGTTCCCTCTCACAAATCAAATAATTCAATACACGGGATTGCCATATAACTTTATTTGATTTGTGTGTGGCATTTATAGTTTTCACTTTAATCGAAGGTTGTAAACTTGGTTTTAACGCAAGCAGAAGCAGTTTAGACAGTTGTGTTATAGTTTCTTACTGTAGATAGTTGTGTTATAGTTTCTTACTGTAGCTAGCTGTGTTATAGTATCTTACTGTAGCTAGCTGTGTTATAGTATCTTACTTTAGCTAGCTGTGTTATAGTTTCTTACTGTAGCTAGCTGTGTTATAGTTTCTTACTGTAGCCCCGCTGTGTTATTTTTTTTAATGTAGCTAGCGCCAGTTGTGTTATAGTATCTTACTGTAACTAGAAGTGTTATAGTCTCTTACTTTAGATAGCTGGGTTATAGTTTCTTACTGTAGCTAGTTGTGTTATAGTTTCTTACTGTAGCTAGCTGTGTTATAGTATCTTACTGTAGCTAGTTGTGTTATAGTTTCTTACTGTAGCTAGAGGTGTTATAGTCTCTTACTTTAGATAGCTGGGTTATAGTTTCTTAATGTACTTCACTGTACCTAATTGTGTGATAGTTTCCTACTGTAGATAGTTGTCTTGTAGTTTTCTACTTCATTTACGTTACGGTTTTCTCAACTATTGTTGTGTATATAGTGGATGATATTGTAAAGTCGCCAGCAACTATTGTTGTGTACATTTGGGTAGATAATATTGTATCGTACCATCTCCAGATCATTCCGACTGAATAATTATTTCCTATTTGTTGTCTCAAATCCACGAGCCTCTTTCCCATTTCGATTGTTTACAAAATACTATGAAACGTATACATTACATTACAAATTCTGTTTCTTTAAAAATGTCATACATGACAAATTCTGCTTCTGTAAAATATGTCATACATTACAAATTCTGCTTCCTCCCTAAAAATGTCATACATTACAAATTCTGCTTCTTTAAAAAATTTTGTTATTACAAATTCTGCTTCTGTAAAAAAAAATGCCATCCATTACAAATTTTGCTTACTTTAAAAAATACCATACATTACAAATTCTACTTACTTTAAAAATGTCATACAATACAAATTCTGCTTACTTTAAAATGTCACACATTATAAATTCTGCTTACTTTAAAAAATGTTATACATTACAAATTCTGCTTCTTTTGAAAAAATGTCATACATTACAAATTCTGCTTTTTAAAAAAATGTCATGCATTACTAATTCTGCTTCTGTAAAAAATGTCATACATTACACATTCTCCTTCTTTAAAAAATGTCATACTTTACAAATTCTGCTTACTTTCATCTCTCAGGGAGCCCTTCTCCTCTTCCCCCCCCCCCCCATATACCCGCCCGCCAGCCATTAACAGCTTACATTGGAAAAAAAAAAAAGAACGTCCTCCGAAACGCCATTGCCATTTACTTTCTGCGCATGCCTACGATCTGCTTATACCCCCCCCCCCCTTTCCACCCCTACCGTTGCTTGAATTCTTCTCTGGGTATCTTAGCCTTTAGCCGCAGATACATTTCTAGCGTGTAGAAATTGATGAATCATTAAGACTGTAACAGACTATATACATTTTTAGAATTGTGCTGCAGTGGATCCCGGGCCACTGCCAGATCCAGGGTAACGAGATCGCAGACCAGCTGGCAAAAATTGGGGGAAAGAAACCACAACCGGAAATTTCGCTACACCCAAAAGAAATAAAAAGAATAATTAAAAACAAACAAACGCAAATGTGGTCTGTCACACACCCTCACTACATTAAAGACGACGGCTATTACAATTTAACACGAAAACAACAATACATAATCTTTCGACTTAGAACAGGCCACAACAGACTAAATCAACACATGCACAAAAAACTGAAGGTTGGGTGTAGCGAAATGTGCCCTTGTGGCAAGGCCCCGGAAAACACGGAGCACGTACTCCAGGATTGTACTCTGTATAGCCAGGCAAGAGGCAGACACTGGCCCCAGCCCACCCCACTCAGGGAAAAATTATATGGGACACCTGACAAACTGGAAACCACAGTCCGGTTTGTCCACGAAGTTGGACTTGTTGTCTGAATCCTCCACCATATTCAAAAATTAAGAACGAAGAAGAAGAAGAAGAAGACTGTAGAAATAGGTTTAGCCTGTAGTCCGTGATACATTTTACACTAATATCGTTAGTCTAAATTTCTGCTATAAGAAAAAGTCTCTTATTTGAAACAGGGCCCTACTAAACTTTTAATAGACGGTCAAATATTTATGTCTAAAATTTAAAGACAAGACCATATCCATCTATATCTATTTACCTCTGTCGCTCTCTTTGTATGACTAATAGCAATATTTTAACGCACTAGTTTAGTAACTAACACATTAATTAAGGCCGCTCCCAAAAATAATGATATGGGTCAGGGTTGAGGAAAGGGGGGGGGGGGGGAGATGCAAATAGATTCAGAAAACCTTTTTCACGAAATTAGTTTGTAATGTGTAAAAACGAATGTTATCACCACCTCATTCGAAATTTTTAGTACCTCTTTGAATCGACGAATTGTGTACAAATGAAATCTCTATAGCACCAGGGTAGGCCTACAGACATGCATTTAATAATCTAATTTATACTGAGGAAAGCCCTGTAGGACAGAGTAGGACTAAGGTCAGACATGCATTTAATAATCTAATTTATACTGAGGAAAGCCCTGTAGGACAGAGTAGGACTAAGGTCAGACATGCATTTAATAATCTAATTTATACTGAGGAAAGCGTGGTAAAGATTAATTTTTTCTCCCTCAAACGTTGACGCGAAACGAACAATTAACTAAAGCGAACGTGAACACTCCCTTCGCCAAAATCCAATAAAACACGCGCTGGGATGATTTAGAGTTTTACAGGTGAGCGATTCACCCGTACGAATCAAGGTAATTGTTCGCGCGTGACGTGACGTAGGTGCTCGTGGGTCGGGGCAGAGAGTGACAGCTTGTGGCCAGGGGATCGAAGTGTCGGGAAAACGTGTGACATGTTTTATCAGTCTCCTGTATCACAGTCTTTCTCCTGCATCACGGTCTTTCTCCTGCATCACGGTCTTTCTCCTGTATCACGGTCTTTCTCCTGTATCACAGTCTTTCTCCTATATCACAGTCTTTCTCCTGTATCACGGTCTTTCTCCTGTATCACGGTCTTTCTCCTATATCACAGTCTGTCTCCTATATCACTTTGTCTCCTATATCACAGTCTGTCTCTTATATCACAGTCTGTCTCTTATATCACAGTCTGTCTCCTATATCACAGTCTGTCTCCTATATCACAGTTTGTCTCCTATATCACAGTCTGTCTCTTATATCACAGTTTGTCTCCTATATCACAGTTTCTCTCCTATATCAGTTTGTCTCCTATATCACAGTTTGTCTCCCATATATTACAGTATTAATTCAATTAGTCACCTACTGCTTTCAATACGTTTTACATAATAAAACTAAAATCATGTTACTAACGTTCATTATTAACATTGTCATCCGTAATAAAATAGTAAATTATTCACGAGAATGTTGTAGGTCTTTCTGTGTTCTCTAGCAGGCCTGTGGTGTATCGTAGCTGCAGGTTTGTCATACACGTTAGGGCAAAAAATATGTAACCTCGATACGGCCTGTTGGAGAACAGAGAAGTACTTTTTCTATTAGGGACCTTCAGCCTCATATGTATGAAATGAGCTTAGCACCTTAACTCAAACCCTCCTAATCCTCAATTGCCTTAACCCAAACCCTCCACGTAACACAGCGCATTAACCCAAACCCTCCACGCCCCCCTCCCCCCTAGTGCTTAAACATACCCTCCCGATTCCCCTACTTAAATCCCACACATCCCCATCCCCGATGCCTTAAACCCCCATCCCCGATGCCTTGAATCTCCAATGCCTTAAATCCCCGTCCCCCGTTGCCTTAAATCCACGCCCTCAATGCCTTAAATCCCCGCCCCCCAATGCCTTAAATCCCCGTCCCCCAATGCCTTAAATCCCCGTCCCCCGATGCCTTTAAATCCCCGCCCCTCAATGCCTTAAATCCCCATCCCCGATGCCTTAAATCCCCGCCCCTCAATGCCTTAAATCCCCATCCCCGATGCCTTAAATCCCCGTCCCCCGTTGCCTTAAATCCACGCCCTCAATGCCTTAAATCCCCGCCCCCCAATGCTTAAATCCCCGTCCCCCAATGCCTTAAATCCCCGTCCCCCAATGCCTTAAATCCACGCCCCCGATGCCTTAAATCCCCATCCCCGATGCCTTAAATCCCCGTCCCCCGATGCCTTAAATCCCCGTCCCCCGATGCCTTAAATCCACGCCCCCGATGTCTTAAATCCCCGTCCCCCAGCATAGCTTGAGGACAGCCCTAAAATGTGTTGTTTCGTCCTCAGGCTCCGTGTCCAGCACCATCACCACACAAACCACCGCCTCGGCCCTACCCTACTACCACACGCTCTACTCCAAGCCGCAGGGGGTCAAGAAGGTGCACGCGACCACCTTCGTCCCAGAGGTCGGCGTCTTCAGGGGTCCTACCTTCAAGGTCATTCACAAAAACTCCACACCCCTGCCGGCGGTCGGACCGGCGGACGACCGGAACCGGACCGAGATCAGACCGGCGTCTGACGGACGTCATCGCTCACGGGACTGCACACCTTCTCCTTACCTGCTGTCGCCGTCGCGCGAGCTGACCAACACGTGCAGCCCGGCCAACACGGCGGTGGAGATCTCGTCCAGTCTGGACACGGCCAGCCTCGACTCGGCCAGCGTCCGGTCCCCAGTCGGCCGCCAGCGTCCATTCAGGACGAGATGATTCAGACGATGATTCCGATGACGAGATGAACGAGCTGGTCATAGACGACAGCGCGCATGATCAGGACACGCCGGAAGAGACGCAGCCGGAAGTGAAGACGCCGGATGAGGAGGTGGAAAAGGATAAAGTGGCGCGCAGACCCGGAGAATGTGATACTAAAAGCGAGTTTTCCCCGGAGAAGCTGACCCTTCACCTGCCCTCTCGTAAACTGTGCCACGAGGAGGCCATCGACTACAGCTTACCCAAAAATTTCCTGCTCCGCGGTCAGGCCAGGAGAATTTCCGGGGACTACGAGGCACGGCGCGCCCAGCTTAACCGGAGGGGTGACGCCCACTCGGGCGCCGGCGAACTGAAAATACCGGGCGCCCCCAAGGCGTGCCCCCGGCACTCACATTCCTCAGAAGAATCGATCCGCACCCCACACACAGCACCGGGCCCGTCCCCCAGGAAGAAGCTCCCGTCGACGGATAAACAGCCCTTACGTCACAAGGTCGCATCGCTGGCACCCGACGATAGCCTCGTCAGATGCGGGTCGGCCCCGCCCGTCACCGGCCTGACGGTGCCCACCGTGGCGGGGGCCGCGGCCAAAAATAACTCGTCTTTCGGGGATTCCCGTTTGTTGAAACCCAGTGCGGATTTACAGGAAAAGTTTGAATTACCGAGTGACCATAACGTAGGCAAGTATAGCTAGCATTAGATCGTAGTGTAGGCAAGTATAGAATTAGATACTAGTGTAGGCAAGTATAGTATTAATAATAATAGTGTAGGCAAGTATAGTATTAGATCGTAGTGAGGCAAGTATAGAATTAGATAATAGTGTAGGCAGGTATAGCATTAGATCGTAGTGTAGGCAAGTACAGCTAGGATTAGATCATAGTTTAGGCAAGTATAGTGTTGGGTCATAGTGTAGGCATTATAGTGTAGACATGAATAGCATTAGATCATAGTATAGGCAAGTATTAAATATGATTATAGTATATGCATTACATTGTAGGAAAGTATTACATTAGATCATAGTGTAAGCAAGTAAAGGCATTAGATCATGGAGTAGGAAAGTATAGCATTAGATAATAGTATAAATGGGTAGTGTGCATAAGGCGGATCAAAGGGGTGTTCGGGGTAGGACACCACCCGCTCCACTCCCAATTTATGATAATCTTTGGTGCAAATATATGTGTTAACTGTTCATTTATGTATGTTTGTATAGATGTGGGTTGATCTCGGGATATATATATATATATATATATATATATATATATATATATATATATATATATATATATATATATATATATATATATATATATATATGTATGCATAGTGTGTGTGTGGGGGGGGTATAACATTGGATCACAATGCAAGCATTGGTAACATTCTTAAAAATGTGCTAGTATTGATTTGCTAGTATAGTATTTTCTAGTACACAACATACCATGGTAGTTTCTTGTAAAAATACCCAATCGGTGTGATAAGTATAGCCTGCACTACCAACATTGTAAGATAAGTTTTATAAGATGGGCGTGTTCACGTAGTCAACACTCAGGTATCATTATGTTAATTATCCCGGAAATTATAATCATCGAACAGCCTTATGGTCGACTGAGTAGGAAATATCCAGGATTTGAATACAACAGAAACTACGAGATAGTACCAATACTTAGCTTTAGTGTTCTCAGTGTATCGTGTGTAAAGGGGGGGGGGGGGCTGAAACTACGGGTTTGTAGATGGTCATTAAGGTGTATGATCTAAATATAGACGGGAGTGTATGATCTAACTATATAGACGGGAGTGTATGATCTAACTATATAGACGGGAGTGTATGATCTAACTATATAGACGGGAGTGTATGATCTAACTATATAGACGGGATTGTATGATCTAACTATATAGACGGGATTGTATGATCTAACTATATAGACGGGAGTGTATGATCTAACTATATAGACGGGAGTGTATGATCTAACTATATAGACGGGAGTGTATGATCTAACTATATAGACGGGAGTGTATGATCTAACTATATAGACGGGATTGTATGATCTAACTATATAGACGGGATTGTATGATCTAACTATATAGACGGGATTGTATGATCTAACTATATAGACGGGATTGTATGATCTAACTATATAGAACGGGATTGTATGATCTACTATATAGACGGGATTGTATGATCTAACTATATAGACGGGAGTGTATGATCTAACTATATAGACGGGAGTGTATGATCTAAACTATATAGACGGGAGTGTATGATCTAACTATATAGACGGGATTGTATGATCTAACTATATAGACGGGAGGGTATGATCTAACTATATAGACGGGATTGTATGGTCTAACTATATAGACGGGAGTGTATGATCTAACTATAGGCGTGTGTGATTTGGCTATATAGACGGGTGTGTGTGATCTGGTTATATAGACGGGGCGTGTATGATTTGGCTATATAGACGGGCGTGTATGATCTGGCTATATATTCAGGCGTGTGTGATTTGGCTATATAGACGGGTGTGTGTGATCTGTCT